AGACTGCTATTAAACAGCACAGAGCGAAACGCTGGGCCACCAGTATCACGATGCCTACTGGCTAGGATTCTACTCCCAAGCCCTACCTCTCCTCGCCCTCCTTCTGCATCACAGATACAGGATGCTTTCTTACAGTGGATTTTTTATATCCACAGGAAAACTGTGCCAGCAGCTAGGGGTGGACCAGACCCCAAGAGCCACCTGTATGCACGCACCAAGAACAACTCCCTTCGCTTGCTACAAATGCTACTGTGCTTCTGTTGCTGAGGAATCGTTCTAATATCTCCATTTATACCTGGATCCTCTCAAACTTCAGCTATCTTTAATAATTTTTGTAGCCATGTAAACACGACAGAATCCACAGAGGATCTGAAACCCATTCACTCAAAAGCTGAAGTGTTGATGGCCTGGATCCACACAGAGCGATCAGGGAAAGGATAGGTAGTGAAGATGTGGAAAGTACTTTTCTGGAGGTTACATTCCTCTCAAATAGATATTAAAGCAATATTACAAATAAAATCAGCAATGTGATCTGCAATGGTGTGTCCATTTATCTATGAAAGCGAGAGCAGATTATATTAAAGGAAATATTTTAATCTACACAAAGCATTTTCACATACTCCTAATTACAAACACAGAGTTGCAACACCATAAAGTAATTGTATACTGAATACAGGATTCAATACATCTCTTACTAAAAAGGAGAGGAAAAGAAAATTAGCAGGGTAATGCAAGTGAAAATCTGCAAGTGTGCACATGGGGAGACTGCTACAAACTTAAAATAGACTCTTCACTACAAAATCAAAATCCAAGGTTTTCTGCACAGCTGTGGAAGGCAAGGCTGCAAGTAGTGTGAAAAGGCCTGACTTGCTTGTCACTGCTGCCACGCAAAGATGTCGGGAAACTGGTGTTAATCTAGGAACTGATAAGCCTGGATTGTTTAGATGGAAACAACAGAAGCAGATTTCCTTTGTTTTGCTCTTTTTTTTTTTTTGCTGGCTAACCCAAACACCTCTGGCCCTTTTTATTCTGTTGCCTTTGGACTGCATCCTGCCTCTTTTATCTACCCACCTCTCCACCTCATTGTTCCCTGACTGGATACAGCCCATACTTCATCTGGAAAACTCGAGGCTTTATTTGAGCAACCCTCATTACCTTGTGAAGCCTCAGGGTTGGGTTCTTAATTTGGGATCATCTACAATGAAGACAAATTAACTGGTGGTTTTCTATATGAGCGACCTGCTCCGGACCTCCTTCAGAAAAACATTCCCACGTTGAGGAAGGAGATCTTTAAACAGTTTTATCATTCCTATGGTCTGAACAGTATTAATAAAAATAGAGCATCTCACCTACCCAGCAGCCCGCTCAATTGGCTGCTACAGCACAAAGGTTGAAGAGCCAGGCACACGGTTAACCAAAGGCCAAAGAGCATCAGCCCCGTGGTAGTTCTGCACTACACGAACCACAAATGTCAGCACCAACGCTCCCAGTCCAGCCGCATTTCTGCAGTTGGTTTTCACGTAACAACCAAGATGTTCTGGTACAGTCATGACAAACCCAAGCACAATGTGGCAAAGTCAGCTACAGGGGAAAGAAGATGGTGACGGCTTTACATCGCAGGCAGTTACAACATCACTCCAGTTCTCTTCAACAGGGAGAAATCTTCACCTACTGAAGCCGATTACACAGAGTGAAAACCAGAGCCCCATCTCCTTCATCATGCTGACACAAACCCTGGAGAAATTCTGGCCAAGCTAATGGTGTTCTCGTGGATTTCTAACAGGGAAGCAGAACAGAAATAGATCCCTAGGAAGCTAACTGGTGACCATGTAAGTTTAATATAATTGCTCCCATCAACACAGCAATAATAGCTACGCCTCTGAAAATACAGCAGAACCTTTTCTAACTCACAATAACCTAATTTAAACAGACATTATGAAAAATCTCCCTCAGATTGTCCGCAATTTTAAGAACAAGGGCATTCTGGTATGGTCTAATATTACTAGACTTCTCTACTTTTACTAAAAAATAGACAAAACTACGTATTATGAACTAACTTACTGTGAAGCTTATCTTAAATCAAAACTATCCCGAACCTACCAAATGAGGCAGCAATTCAGAAAAGCACTTTAGCACAGGCTTAATAACATATGCATGCTCAAATATTTTGCAATAATGTAATTGTATGTTTGAATACCTGGTAATTTATGGTTTTGGCTTTTAAAAGCTGGTCTCCCAATTTGCCCCTGTGATTTAGCAACATTCTAGTATATGAGCCATAACAACAATTTCTGCAAGGAAATACAGTAGTACAGCAACTGCATGGTAATTTATCTGAAAACTCTACTGTAATGCCACATCACAACAGGTACCTGCATATCCGCACCTGGTAAATTAAAAGTGATATCGATGCATTTGATAAATAAAAAATAAATTACAGACTATGGGAAAAATGTCACTGATCACACCAATGACCTAAACTTGCTTTCTAGTTACTGACAAGGTCTGGAGTAATATTTAAATATAGTATTTCTGCAAGCCTTCAGAGAATTACAAAATAAACTTCTAACAATCATTTGTAAACAAGTTTAAAATGCACAATTATATTTCAGTAGTTTATTTTGGAGAAATAAAGCAGTGCAAAATAGGCCAACCAAAATTCAGAAGGCAGCCAGGAAAATAAAATTCTTATCTGATGTTCTAACTAGGAAACAGCATACAGACATTTCCATTGGATCCAACACTCAGATTCATGTAAACATACTTAGTTTGAAAGGTCTTGAGTTACTAACCCAGTTTTAACATCATTGCTTCTTCCCCACCACCCAGTAAAAAATCCCAAAAACCAAAAACCAAACCAAACCAAAACAAACCCCAAGCCATTGTAATAAGGGGAGCAAAAGGCAAGTCTATAAACACTCCACCAGCTGGTTACAAGAAAGTACCATACAAAAATATGCACTGGCAAGTTCCTTCCTGAGGGTATCTTTTGTTACATGTGTAACACAGAAACACTTTTTATTTAAGCAAAAAAAAAAGCCCAAACTGTAGATGTCAATTTTATTTCAATCATTACGAAAGATTTGGTCTACCATGAATGCTTTTATCAACCCTTACCTATGTACATCTGACTCACTCACACCACATCTGAGACCTACATGCTGCAGACAACGTGGGATCCAGCAGCCTCAAAGCATACGAGGGGTGTGAAGCGTGCCCAGCTCAGAGCTGATCTGCAACGGTCGAGGAAGTTGGCTGCATTTACGTACACCCTGGAATTTGACAGGTACCACACTCAAGATCCTTCCAGTCCCTACAGAAGTATCTTGAAGTTAGTAACCCCTCCAGACGTGGAATGATTTCCTCTTCTGTAAATCAGCCTTGAAAATCTGATCCCAGCTACAGGGAATTCCCAGGAATGGCATTTTAGGAGCAAACTCAATCTCTCCTAAGTAAAAAAACATTCTTTACAGAAAAGAATTGCCACACAACACTCCTCAAAAATTTTTCCCCTCCAGGATTGGTACCATCAGGTACGCTACTGACATCTTTTACGTAGTTCAATCCTCTCTCTGTGGTCTACCTGGGCATTAAGCTTTAGATCCTCTCCCTTTGAGCAGACATCTAACACATGATACTAAACAATCTGGTATTAAATGCTGCAGTGACGGATACCTGACGAACACCTGCTATAGAAAGACAGAAATTCCCCTATCTGCAAGCCAAGAGCTTAACTAAGGAAATTTTCTTAACATCACCTCTCTTAAATATATTTTAGGGCTTATATGGGGAGGGAAGGCCACTCTGTCTACCAAAATAGTGTCTCCATTCTCAGCACTGACAGACTTGGATATTTCCAGTTTAGTGTTCAGAACCAGCAAAAGCTGCAGGAACTGTCGACAGCGAAAGACGCTGCCATGCTAGAAGATGGAATAGAGGGTGAACACTGTAGATTCACTGCTTATCTCAAGAGATACGAATTGGCTGCACTGTAGTTTACAAATAGAACAAAGCACTATTGTAAATTATCACACAGCCTCATCTGGCAGCCTGCAACAAAATAATGCAGTACCCAATTCTGCTTATATTTATTCACAAAAGAAAAAAAAAATGCACAGCAGCACAGATCTCTGGATAGCAGCAACTGTGCTACCCCCTAGGATCCACAGATCAGGTGCACTGCTCCAAGGAAAACATGTGGCTCTGATTGCCAGCTTTTTTGCAGAGCTGTCCCACCATCCTCACAAGTGCAGTGGAGGGAGAATTAAATTCTCTGCTAAGAGATGAGCTGCTTCCAATAACTCTTCTAGGATTTCACCACTAGCAGACAATTGAAAGGATAATATTTAATGTACTAAATCACTCAACCTAACCATCGGCACTCTTTCTGCATCAAATGTGTCACTGTTGGCAAGTGTGGTAAGAAGTTGCTTCTGACTGAAGCAATGAGGCCTGGGGGAAGAACTGCAAAGCTGGAACGGGGGTGGTCACCTTGGTTCTGCACCCTAGCTGACAAGTCTGCTCTGTCCTACTCAAAGTGCCACAGCTTCACAGCAAGCTACCTGCCCACTGGTCAACGTTTCAAGAGATTTGGTTTAGTGATTCTGAAGTTGTCTTAGCTTTCTTTTGCAATGGCCTACTTGGAAAAAGGGAAGAGAGAATATTTTAGGCAAAAATCTCTTAGCACTGTTACATTCAGACACCGCATTTCAACATTATTATCTCCTTGATACTATGAGGTCCGATTTTAAAATGCTGGTCACCAGTGATTACAAAGAACAATAGAAATGAAAGAGCAACCCTCCCACAATGAAAGGATAGTGTTAAAACCCACGTGTGTAAACTCACTACAGATTTGCAACTGGAGTCTGATGAAATGGATCTGAATCACTTTCTCACCTTCCCCCTTTCAGTCCACTTCATCAGAAAATCAGGTTAAATCAAATGGAAGGTTTGGTGTGTTTTTTTTCTTTTTTTTTTCTGTGTTTTGTGTTGTTTTTTTTTTTCTTTTTCATTTTTCGCAATCGTATTGTTACAGCCTGATCTGGTTCTGGGACCGCAATTTGCATCCCTGTGGCTTTTTCTCAGTCCATGGCATTGGCAAGTTATTGAGAAGAAGCTTTTGTGGCCAATGTAGCGACGCAGTGCTGCTGGAAGCTGGGGGACACTGCCGAGTTACAGCCTAGTCTCTGGTGTTGCAGTTTTACTGAGCTGTTGGTCTCGCTTTCCACAATCCAGGAGGAGTCTTTTCCCCTGACGCTGAGACAGCCCGTGCTAGCGCAGCATATCCGCTCGTCCGTGATCCCGCTGGTCTGCTCTGCCAGGAACTTGCTGCGGTTTAGCTGGGTCACCTCGGGTGCCTGACCCTGCAGGACAGCAGCTATGTGGTTCAGGAGATCCGTGAAAAATTCAGAAACACCCTCATATCCTGAAAAGCAGAAAAATGAAGGAGACAAAAAAGGCAATTAAGTAAATTTCACAACTTCTTTGAAGCGCTTCTTATACTAGTTTATTTTTTGGGTTGTCCTTGCTCTCCAAGTGATAATAAAATGGCTTCTCCTTTACATTGTTTTGAGTGGCTGCATGTGCAGATAAAGAACAGAGACCCCTGCTGCGCAAATATTTTTGTTCTACAACAAAAAACGTCACCTTTCAGATTTTCTGTTTCCTCTCAAGTACATACACATGTATACATAATTTTAGGTATAGTTTACCATTTGTTGCCAAGTCCAGGTTTTTAGCTAAGGTACCAACTCTGTGGTACAATGCTGATCCTCTCCATACTGTTTCCAGGCTTACTAAGGAAAGTCGCTCTAATGCAGAGTTGCCTTGAGGGTCTGCACCCTCTCTAGAATTTGCCAGCGATACCCTCAGTTAGGGAATCCCCAGAGGACAGTGTGGCTGGCTTTATACCCTACAGAAAAGGTAGCTTCCCACTGTGTCAGAAGCAACGTGATGCTCATCTAATCTAACCTAACTTGACATTTAGAACATGCTCCCTACTATGAGCAATGTCTGAAAAAGCACTCAAGGGACAGTAAACATGTATCAATGACATACATATATATATACACACATAGAAACATCAATTTTTTATTTCAGTACTGGAACCACCTTTCTGCAGGTTCTGTTAAGTGATTCCAGGCAATTTACAAAGCAGAGTTTAATGACAAGTTTCCTGGTTGAAACAGTTGCTCAAATACCAGGAGACATGATATTTTTTGGTGACGTAAAGGGTGGCAGTAGGCATACAGAACTTCTGGCTCTATTTTAAACACTCTTGTACAGGCATAGTTTTCTCACTGCATTCATTTTAAAATTGAATGAGACATGCAACATATTGGTAAAACGTCCTGAAATGGATCTTAACTGCTACTGCATTACAATTGTTATCAATTTCATTTAGTATTTAGGGGTGATATATGACATTCAATGTATTTAATGCAATAGGTTGATTGTTTTAAAATGTCTATAAAAGTATTCTGAAGGTGACCTGGTATTAATACAGGAGAATGAAACAATAAATAACAGTTTAAAAATCCCATGTGAACAGCACACATTCACACAGAAGCACATGAGCAGAACCAGGGACTACAAAGTAAATGCACATTTTAAAACACTTTCAGTGATGTGATCTTGAGGCAGAAGAGTCCCCCAGATCCATAATAATTCAATTTTAATCTCCATTCTCCTTAGGCAATAAAAACTCAACTTCCTGAAAAACATAAGGTAAGGGGATAATTTCACCTTAAGACAAATGTGATGATTTGATGGTATATTTATAACCCATGTTAACGAATTACCTCTTATTTAGGCTCCTACACTGCTTTGGATTTTATTGCACTTGGTTACATTTCTCCTGGGTACTTACCAGGGCACACAAAACACCAGCAGTGTGAGACAACAGCTCCCAGTTTTCCTTTCTCAAAAGCCCTTAAACAGATTCACCGAAGAGACCGGCCATTTGAAAAACGTCAAGTTTCCCAGTGCTCCACACAATAACCCAATGGTCAGCAGGGGTAACTAGGGCTCTTACAGCCAGTCAGGGGAGCCAGAACGAGATCTCCACCTCTTTTAGAGAGGTGCTTGCTACGCTTTCTTGCTTATGTAAAACCCATGGGATTAGCCTTCAAATCTACTCAGAGTGCTTCAAACACTCCGGGAATAAGCCATCTCCATAGTAACAGCTTTAATATTCAGGGAGGAGATCCACTGTACCCTAGAGTGTTTCGTGTCTGCTCACTGAAAACACACCAGCTTTGTTTCAGGGCATCTGGCAAACTCACAAAGAAGTTATTTTAAATATTTAATGGGAGTAAGATGGCCAGTTAATTCAGTCCTGAAATCAGCAGATGTTACAGTGTAAGAAAGCCGTAGGTATCAGTCATGCTTCCTGTGTGCAAGCCTTCGGCATGCTGGGTGGAAAGGCCCAAGTAACTCTGTGTTGTCACTCAGAAGAAACCTCACACACTTGTAAAAAACAAACGCAAGGAAGGGAGGAAGAGAACCAGGAGGTCTCAACTCTCAAGCCACAGGATGCCTGGGGAAGGCTGCAGACCGTGGACATTGCCTCGCTCTGTTCACTGGATGCTGCTGCTGGCCTCTCAAAAAAAGCAACTGTGGGACATCACTGTGCTCTGATGACAACAAAATCAAGAAAGGCAAACTAAATTACACTGTCAGAAACTACCAGTAATGAATTTGGAGTTCATGTCACACAAAGAAATCAGTGGAGGATGTAAGTTTTGCGCATCTCAAAGCACAAGTTGCATGAATCATGCTCCAGCAAGTACTACCCTAGCACTGCCCACTGAAACCATTTTGGAAATTACTCTCTACAAGAGGCTATGTTGAAAACAGCCTCCAGAGTCCTCTGGCTGAACACAGAAAGAATGTCCACCCAGCAATGCTTCTGAAAACAAGCGCCTGTCCCCCTGAGCTCTGTGAAGTCAAGAAATGCCTAGGAGCTTTTTAAAGCTAACATTAAAGATGCTACCTGCCTGATTTTTAGGAGACTCTCCCTGATGTGGCACGTTCTCTGCCCAGAGAGAAATGGAAAGCCCAGGCCCTGCAGTTACGGCAGCATATTTACACACACAAAGTGCACGCTCAGATCCGGTATTTCCAGCCACCACACATATGCAGCACACAGAATCAGCAGTTCCCCTGTACTGGTAACAGGCTGCAGAACGGGCACACAAGCTGCTGCTCATGCTGGGTGAGCTCAGCCACAGCCACAGGCCAGCCGGCTATGCAGAGACTTCTCTCTTAGTTACCTGCGGTCACGCAAACATAAAACCCACATGCTACATGACTGTGCCTACAGTTAAATATCTCATCTGGCAACCACTGCTAAATATAGTCCTGGTGGTTTCCCACAGAACTGGAGACACAATGGGCCTTTTAGAAATTTAGTTTTAAAATAATTTTGAAGAGTTGCTGGTGCTAACGGAGCAGACAACAGACGACATCCTCCTACAGGTACATCTGCTCTCAATTCTGCCATTAAACTAATCACAAGATGACATTCATGAAAGGGTAAGTTCAAAAGAGCTTAGAGTCTGGTAAACACAAAAGACAGCACACAAGGAAGCCGAGCCTCTGAGCAGCTGGACAAGGCTTTGGTCAGGTCTGGCCCCAAGCCATAGCTTGAGCTCCATAAAAGAAGTGAAAGATTAAGAAGCCTGGGGGCTCAGGGCAAGATCCCTAGCTGTGAACTCACCTCTGCCATACTGAAAACTCAGGTCTCTAAGGCCAGGATAAACACACTATGTAAGAGCCTGTGTACGTCTCAGGAAACAAACACCACTATTCAGGTAAACAGAGGAGAGTCCCAAAGAGAAACACTCCATGCAAAGCAGCCTCAAATGAGATGATGTATTCTCTCCCTGCGTTAAGCTACTGCATTTAGCACAAGTGACAGATCATTATTGCCCCCCGCCTTACAGACACTCATAACTCCTTTTAACAATTCCAGTGGACAAGGAGCTTGCTTAGTTGTTTCCAAGACATACGCTGCACTAAAAAGCAGAGAACAAGTCTACCCATTTTCATGTGCTCTTATTGTTCTATTCCAGGATGTACTTACGAGAACCTGCAAGGCTATTTAATTCATTAAAGCAACTTGTGTGCACCTACAACTTTAACATCTTCCTCAGATTTCTGGTGGTGTTGCCTTTTCCCACAAATGTCTTCTCACGGAGGATCACTTTGCACAGGAAGAGATTTTCAAGGGAACAGTTTGCTGCTTCCACCTCCTCAACACTTTTAATGGCATAGTCTCAAAAAAAAGAGAAACCTTAAAAGGCTCTCCTAAAAGAGAATTTATAATTTTTTTTTCATCTCCAGAATGAGGGACAGGCCCAGAAAGGCCAGGTCCTTGCACAGTCTCATGCTTCAGTTCCTGAGCATCCTTTGCAGGGAGGGGCACAACAGCCATGTTACAGCTGGCCACTACAATTTGACTGCATTTCCCAAGAGCTGACAGTTCAGTAGCATGTTCCATATCTAGGTTAGGGGTCTGCTCTTCACAGATTCAACAGTATGCAACCTCCAAACAATTTAGCTGTGGCTCTCCTGTCCCCGACCTGGGAAGCAGTGATGTGAGACACGAGCAGTAAAACTTCACACCAGGCACACACTGCATAGTTTCCACAAAGCATGAGTGTAAAGGCCTTTCTCACCTGGGAATGCATTTATATCAATGACCGCATGCTGGCCAGTCTGATTGTTAATGATGATATCAATTCCAAAGAGGGAAACTCCCAGAGCTTGCCGCAGTGCCTTAGAAATTTCCCGGATGACGTCATCGTTTGGCCGCTCAAATACTCCTTCGATTTTATCCAGCTACAGTGGAAAAAGACACATTACTAAGGGACTCTGAAACAGTCTTTTTAGTGGAAAGACTGATTTTCAGAGGTTTCCAGGTGCATATCCACCAAATCTAATTGCAGAGAACTGGTGGCATGAAACAGAGAAAGACAGCAGAGAAACTGCTTTCATAATTCAGAATCCTTCCTATACCAGAAGTTCACGTGCTCTAAAGCACCTAGTTCTTCCTCTTCATATGGGTGCAGCTCCTTGAGAGACAGAGCAGTGTAGGAATGAAGGGAGAATCAGACTCATTATTTTAAGTAGTAGATCTACACATTAAAAAACCAAAGAAGACTCAAAAAAAGGAGCAAGGCTCTTTTCAGCGGCGTCCAATGACAGGACAAGGAGTAATGGGTACGAGCTGCAACACAGGAGGTTCCATAAAAATATTAGAAAAAACTTTTCCACTGTTAAGGTGACGGAGCACTCGAACAGGCTGCCCAGGAGGTTGTGGAGTCTCCTTCTTTGGAGACATTCAAAACCAACCTGGATGAGTACTTGTGCGATCTACTGTAGGTGATCCTGCTCTGGTGGGGGGGCTGGACTAGATGATCTTTTGAGGTCCCTTCCAGCCCCTGACATTCTGTGATTCTGTGATTCTCTGAAATATGGCTGGTGTGTTTAACCCTGTGCTGCAAATATTCTGGCTACCATTCTGTCATTTTGATGTAGATTAAAGGGCTCATAAAACAAACTCTTGCTGTTAGTTTAATCTGAGCCATACAATACAACTCAGCTGGCATCTTCAGGGCAGACACTAATTCGAAGGGGATATCTTTTATGTGGGTTTTCACGTAGAAGTTATTCTATAAACATTCATTACAGTGAGTAAAACCCAGGTTACTTATGACTGGAAGATGTAATTTTCTTCACTTTTTAAACAACATATTACAGAGCAGAAGTATATGGTACAGAAGCATGTATGGAATATGCATGTGTATGAGAGAGATGGCAGGTAAACCACAGAAGCATATAGTCTTATCTAAATTTCAAAGTAAATTTAGCCATAAAGGAATTTGTGACTAGCCCAATTACAGTTTTAATATTTAGCATGCCTATCAATGTTGCAAACAACTGAAAATTTAATCATCGCCAACTTTGAAACTACTCCCCAATACAGCTTGTGAAATAGAGAAGAATCTGGAGACTCAGAGATTGAAAGGACCCAGTCCTGTAAAGTGACTTTCTCAGCAGTTGAGTGACCGAGAGCTCGTTAGGATTCGTACAAAGCTTATTAAAAGGACTAGTAATATAAGCATGAAACTGTGCAGCACATTGGCACTGTTGGAGTTGGAAGACACCCAGAAATGGTCACAGCTTGGGCGTGCTCACAGCGCACACAGCTACTGGCCCTCTGTGGCCCTGCCCAATGCAATTTCTCTCCTTGAATTTTCACTGTTTGTCTTTCCTCACAGAACTGAGTCCTAGAAGGATGATTTATGCTTATTAAGCTCTCTGGACAGGAAAAGGCCAGGTATTTGAATTCAGAACCTCCTTCTTCCCTTTGTCTAGATTAGCTCTGGGGAGTTTAGGCCTGGCAAGCAACAGAGCCCTGCTGCATCAGTGTTTCCTCACCAGAGCTCGGTAAGGAAAACCAGTGGGGGACACAGTCATGCTGGTTCGTTGGACCAAACAGACCTCAGCCTGCAACACAGAAGCAGACAACTTGTGAAGGAGAGTCACTAGCTACTAACGTTTCCGTAAGAAAGGACTAGATAGTTTTCCAGATGCACCAGACGATAAAAAAGACAAAGTGTACTTACTGCTGTTAAGACAGATGAGGATTCTGGTTTTGAAACATTGTGGCTGTTGAAAAATATCGATTCTCTGTCTGGAATTAAAAGCAGGTTGTAAATAATGCAGTAGGTTGTAAATCTTTATGCAAGATTTCAACTTCCAAAGGATTAGTTCAAGGAACAGTAGATGGCACTGCAGCCTTGGGAATCCAGTCTCAATCCCTGCTCGGCAGTCCCTCGGCACCCATCCCATCCCATCCCATCCCATCCCATCCCATCCCATCCCATCCCATCCCATCCCATCCCATCCCATCCACCACCCTCAGAGCCTCTCCTGCACTTACTGCCCGCACAGGCAGAGACCCATGGCTGGGTCACCCACAGTTTTCACACCTCGCACCACAGATAAAGAGAACTGCACGTGGTTAATAGAAAACGGTTTCCTTTCCTTCACTAGTCAATTAACGAAGCTCAGCAAGATAATGAAGTTAATTTCTACTAATTTGCTATACTCAAAGTGAAAGCTGCAATGGGAATGCGTGTGATAGAAGGCAAGTAGATTGATAGCTCCCAGGGTATGCTAAGATCCCTGTAAGCAGCTGAGGAAGACACTGTGACCATGGGAAAAAGCAGTGAATTTCAGTTCAGGGCCTGTTCTCCTTTTAGAGGCACCACAGGAATGCAGGAGACACACTGAGGTGACAGAAGCACAAAGGTACCACAGTGGAAAACATGGGGAGAATTGCATCAGCACCTCCCACCCTGCTCTCTCTGTGCTGGAGGTTTTACTGGTGGGGAGAAATTCACCACAATTCTCCCCTTGGGATTCCCACCATGGCAGCCTGATGGCATTGCACTGACAACCCCTGCAGGAACACCTGGACCAAAGTCTCAGCACACAGGTGGCACCAGCAATAGAGTATTTCTGCTATGCTGGTCTCTCTGAGTGAACATTTAAGGGTAGCCAGAAGGCTGTGTACAATATAGATGGGAGGCTGTGAAAAGCAAACCCAAATCTCCTCTGCAGTCTGACATCACCATATCCTCTTCTTATAGTTTATATTAACACAGATCCTGGCCTACTTTGATCAGGACATAGAGCAGACCTAATTGTAAATACAAGCATATATACCTACAGACAAGGACTTTTACTGAGACCCTTCTATACACACACTAACAATATATGTATTTGTGTGCAGAATGCAATAGTGAGCATATATGGACCTACTAGGATCAGCAGAAACCACTAAGAAAAGTGACAAGAAACTGGCACTTGTTCATTCCTCTTTCAGTTTGATATCTTCCCCCCTCCTGTCCCCACCTCCTGGATTTGTCCAGTTGCAAGCAGACAACGCTCCCACCCATAGGCTGCTAAATGCTTTTTGCTCCTGATGGGCCACAGAATGCAGTTCTCTGGAAATTAGCTTTTTTTTTCCATAAAGGAAATTTAAGTAATCTTTAATGAAAAGTGCTTCAAGTGCTGTTTTCCAGTTACACAGAGGAGGATCACTGTTCTCACTGATAAACCATTCCTCCTTCCCCCCAACACAGCTGGTATCTACAAAACCTTTCAAAGGACTCTTCCTACCAAGGTTTACAAAGGAGAGGCTAGTGTAGGATCTTTAATTTAAACACATATACATAATCAGGTAAAAATACGGAAAGGAAGTTCTGAAATGATGGAAACCAGGAAATTCTCTCTAAAGTACACTTATAAACAAATTCCAGAACAAATGACACACAAACCTACTGTGAAATGAGAGAATCTCTCCCCCTCTACCCTTTCCACATGACATAAAACACTGTTTCTAACAGGTAAGACTCAGGTTACTATTACATAAATATTTACTATATGAAGTAATTCGTATGTATTCCAGAGCAGATGAGTTATCTCCCTTCCTATTGAAATAATACAGGAGAGGAAAGACAGTATGTAAGAACCAGCTGCTTTCGCTTCAGCAGCCTTCTCAAAGATAATTCTCTCTTTTGAGCTGTTCACTGCCAAACTTCAAAGAACTGGCATTTCCTTTTAAAACGGCATAACGTACCTGAGATTCCCGCAGAGAAGTTCTTTAAAGATGGCCTTTTCACCACCGTGTAGGATTCCCCAACCACGAAGACTTTATACAGCACGGCATTGTGATTGATGAAGCTCTGAATGACACAAGGGGGCCGAACAGCTTTGAGGCCTTCCTGGTTGAAGATGATTGCCATCTGGAAACACGCACAAACAGTTGTGCACAAGTCTTTAAAAAATTTCATGCTTACCCACAACCTGACTAGCTGTGAGGGGGAACATCTACTGGTGTAGCTAGTCCCATTTCATTACATTTCATTTCACTGACATACAACTCTCCAAACACTACTGGCATTGCACCTTTCATTTTCAATCAACATTTTCTTCTCAGCCCTTTGCAATTTCATCTCCTGCTTTTAGTAGGGAAGCTACTGCAACTGCAGGTACAACAAAAGGTTAAAACATACGACCAACACAGATAAAAAAGTTTGTCTCAAATATAAGCATGTGACATGAGAACAACAAAATGAACAGCTCTGTGTACTAACTGCACAAGTTCTTCCCCAGAGCTCAATTTCCTGTGGTTTGGTTCATTCAAGTTGCAATGGCCTAATCACCAGGTTTTCACCCACATCTTCAGAGAACTTTTTTCAGACTACAGTCGTGTCTCGCTGCTAGCAAATGCCAGCAGAACGATTTTCGTGGCTTGGTTTTACCCCATTCATCCAAATGGATAGCCCTCTTGAAGGGACTGGAATAAATATGCCAAAAGGGAAAGCACTTATAGTGCCCGAGTGATGAACAACAGCTGCCTCAAACAGCACAGGAGCATCAATCCCTCTATTACCATGCTTACATGCCTACTTAATTATCATAACTCTGATGCCCCATTTTGCAGGCTTATTGTTGTTGGGTATGGATGTCACCAAGGTTCCTACGCAGGACCAGTAGCAAGCATCATTCTGGCACAGGTGATGAAATTACTTTTTACCAGTGTGCCCCGCAGTGAGGATTAACTTTGGTTTGCTCTCCATCCTCAAAGCCCTGAAAAAGCTATGCTCCAGTTAGCTTACTATTGACCTCTTTTCATTTCTCCGGTGATGATGGGCCTTGTTATCCACAGTGGCAGCAGGGCATGCTGGTAGTCAAGTGAACACAAGTAAGGACTGTTCAAGGCCAGAGAATCTGACGTACCTTTTGTCTTCCTTTCTTCTGGGCAAAACTCTCTCCCACAAGTAGGGATGCTTTTGTGCACTTTTCCCCTCTAAAGAGCCTTGAAGACAACAGCTAACCATCCAAGTCCTGAGCCTCGCACTCACCTTAGTCAGTGCGTTTATCAGAAAAATACCTAAGCTCTAAAACCACAAGTTTCTTCTTACGCCTGATAACATGTTTTCACTGGCCTGCTTGCACATACTGTTCTATTTGGGATGCAAGACAACCCAGTGAGGCTAAGAGAATTCCTCTGGGGCCCACAGTGACTCCACAGCGATATACAGAATAAAATCAGAGCTTCCTGCCTCAGGATGTAGACGAGTTACACTGCTTGCTCGCTCTTTCCATATTCTTCCTGTCAGTTTTCAAGCTTTCTGAGATTAGGTGTATCTCAGTGAAGTCCGGGTCACTGGAAGAATTTTACAAAATAACTTTACCACTTTGTGCTCTCTCTCATATATTATATATATATATGCTGCTCATTTGATGCATGCTCCACTTGCAGACCAAATTTTTGCTAACACCTTAGTTTGTTCCAGCAATAAAAATAAGTTCTGTTGTTCAAAAATGTAGCCACAGTAAACGATGTAGTGATTACATATTCATAGCCAGAAGTCTGAGCGTGTTTTTGCCCTCACTCTTTCTTACCTGGTACACCACATCAGATCACATAACTGTCTGCACACATGCCAACTGACTTAGCAGACTAACATTTTCTGAGATAAGTCAATGTGTGCTGATATTCTTACCCTGTCTCTATTATACCAGACGCTATCAACCTGACAGGATTGAGTGAATGTGGTACCAAGACGTGTGAGAAACCAACTCTAACCAGCAGATTCATCGATGAAGATGATTCACAGCAACAACATCATCATATCTCATGTGTCTCTCACCAGTGGCAAGAAACACTGCTCTCTTCCTACTCATGTGTAGACTGTTGGCATCACAGTATCTACATCACTATACCGGCACAAACTGTGCTGTTCCTATAGTGTTCTCTTCAAATCTTAGTTAATTAATGTCCACATACAAATATAAGATGAACAGGCACTATTTTAGAAGTGTAGAAACCCAGGAAGTTTATCTTCTTGGCACAGAACTGATGTAAGCTACTGGAAACCACACCTCTCTTCTGCAAAGCTCTGTGCTGACAGCCCCATGGAGCAGCGCACAACCCATGCAACTCCCACGGTGCTGTGTTACACCGGTTCACTGCGGTGTCTTATAGTTTTAGCATGCATGAATGCAACTCCAAGAATTCACTTGCAGGGCGCACTTGGTCTTTGCCATCTAGCACAGACCTGCTGTGTCTCGCTGTAACATGGGAACAGTATTTTGTATCCTAATTTCCAAATAGCCTTCTTCATTATAAATGCAGAGCTCTTCTGAAGGCAAATCAAAACATTCATGACTAAGAAGATTTACGGACAACATCCTTAAGGAATTTAGTCTCAAAAACATAGTGATTCTTCGCCTTTTCATTCCTGACTGCTCAACACTGAGAAAAGGAGTCATTCTAGGCACATTTCTTCAGGTTATGGGTCTCAGTGATATCTCATGGCAGCTTTACCAAAGGTCAGCCGTGTTCTGACTTGCTGGCAGTTGGGAAGGACAACCTCCAAGTATCATCTCTAGTCAAGTCTAACAAACAGTGCTGGCAAAACGAGGTTCAAGTACTGACCTGGGCAATGATTTCTGGTGCAGAGGCCATGTAGAACTGTGGGACAGCACAAGAAGACTAACTAACAGCACCTTGGCTTAACTAGCTTGTGTGTTCACCTCAAAATGTGGAGTTTGCCAGCCTGACAGGCACCAAAACCAAACTCAAGCAGCACCTTCAGCTGTCCCTATTAGTCAATATTTGAACTTCATGAATAATCATCTTAAGAAAAAAACCAGGTTTCTAGTGAGGTTGTGTTCTAGGTCCAGTGTCAGCTCTGCAGGGCAAATATCTCTACAGAAAATGAAGCAATTTACCAAAAGCCAAGAAGGAGTCATTAATTAAACAGGCAACATTTTCTTGCTTCTAGACGTACACTCCATCTTTTAGAGAGACTGTACAGTAAGCAGAGTATTCTACGCTTCTCTTGCCATTACTGACCTTAAAATAGCAATTACAAGACAGTTCCTCTCTGATCATAAATACTCTGTTGGATCACTCATGAAAACTCAGCAACTCCCAATATGACTACTACCACTAACTATGTAAAGTACTACACAGGATTTCAGCGTGTTTTTTTCTTCTGGAGGTCCTCCTTAGGCTCTAGTCCTACGTTTCTGCAATACACTGTATTTTAGTCTAAGTTTTGCTCATCAAATGGAATTTTGGCAGGAGGCTGAGGTATGTCTGCACTGTATGAAAGAAGAGCAAAGAAAGATTCACCAGCGAAATTAAGTCCAAGCCTGACTGGACAAGCACTGAAAGGTTCATGCATTTCATGTTGCAGTTGCAGAGGAACTTGTAACAGAAAACTCAGCAGGGAAACTGAAGTCTCAAATTAAAAATCAGCAGGGAAATTGGAGTCTTAAATTCATTAACAATCCAATCTCCAAAGTGTTCTTGGAAATGACAGCAAAAATTCATAGAGGCTGCTCCAGGAAACTAACAGGACTGTCCATCAGCTTGCAGAACAATCGAAGCTGAGACCTGCATGAAAAATCTTGCTGGTATCTTTAAAAGCAAGTGCTGGTCACTCAACATTTCAGCTGTAGCCATTCTGCTCATCTAGATTTAGATTTTACTTCAGGGCCTTCAGCTCTCTGAGACTCTACAGCAACAACATACTGCACATTTCAGGAGCAGCTGGGAAACTTGGACCAACAACCACGTTGTTAACAAAGGCATTAGGAGAGCCAGCAGCCAGGGCTGAATTCCCAAAACTGAGCTGTGGTAAGCAGGAAGGCAGGAAGCACAAACGGAAAAGAATTAAAACAGGACTCAACTTGCCTAAATTTAGAGGAAACTAGGCTCCTAGGGAATGCACTCCTTCCAGGAATACACAACCATTTTAACTGCAATTGCCTTACAGGAAGGAGGAAGGCACACAGTTCTACCAGCTCGGTTCTGTCTACAGCTCCAACCGAGTTATTACAATTGAACATGTCTGGAAACTCTCTATTTGATACTCCCTTCCCCTCAAGGAGAGGAACTAGCCACTTCATCTGCAGCACAAACCCATTTCTCACCTGTACCACATACATATTGGAAGAAAAACAAGGCGGGGTGGAAACATCACCTAGTGTGACCTCCCAGCAAAGGAGAGACAGAAGGAGATTCCTCGCAGACAGAGCTGACTGAAGACTACAACTGCTAGAAGCAAACAGATGACAGAAGCTAGAAACTGCTAGAAAGAACTTCCACATCAAGAGGGTAAAGCCATGTTTAATTTCATTTCAGATTAATTTGGAAAAATAATGGTGTAATTAAACAGGAGGGAGAAGCAGAGGAAGGGAAGTCATTCAAGCATAGCCCTCATTCTGCCTTCCAATCCTGGATTGGAACACACCAGCCAAACCACCACGAGGGGACTGGAAAAAGGGGGATAATACTGCAAAAGGTTTTTAACTCACCTCGTGAGAGTTGGTTCCATGGGCCACTCTGGTTTTACAAACTAGGTAAATAAAAAGATAAAACATTACACCACTGAAACAGGATGCACAAAATCTTTATAAAACCATTCCCACCCACACGTGCAAACACTGGAGTTCACCAGGCCAAGGCTCTGACTGTACCAGGTACCAGTGACAGTCTCTGCTCAATCACTACAAAGCCTGGCTTGCTCCAAGCCCTACTCTCTTACTCCTCCCTGTAAGTGAAGTGCAAGTAGAGGCCATTATTAGAACTGGGCAGAGGTGCAAAGAATCAGCTAACAAGTTAGTACCAGAACTGGTACTGCCATCCTGCCTACTCAAGAAGGCATCTTCACAAATACGTGATTTTGCCTGAGGATGGAACCACAAAACACCACGCTTCTGAAAACAAATGAACTGGGATACAGTGGACCCCAACTTCTTTTTCTACCTTCCTGTTTCTAGGGAAGAGCAAGAAACCAAATGGGCTGAACCAAACTAAGATACAACGTATTTTTTGCAGGCAACCAGAGGGGGACAAAAAATGTGGAAAGAGCCCAGCAGTTCTTTTTCCTTCATATCACTTATCTGCTCTGTATATCCTGGTTCTTGCCTCCCTCCTAAAACCACTAAGAGGAAAGAAACAAGATGCTCCTGCTACTATGAAACCAGAGAAGACCTGAAGACCCTGGGACATGACGAGTAGAGCTGATTTTATTTATATGTTAAGCAGAGGAGATGAAAACTTGCAAGTAGTAAGGGGGTAGATAGGACCTCTTTCGGGATTGTCAGAAGAGTCAAATTACCACGCAAGAGGACAGGCAGCTACGAAAGGCAGACGACCTGCACTAGAGTCCAAAATAAACTGGTAGCTTGAAATTCTGGAACGTGGTACATGATGTCTCAGAGAAAAATGCTCTGGAGAGGAGGGTTTTTAAGGAAGGAAAAAAAGAAGACAGAAGACAGAAATAGCAGTCCTACAATGCCACGTTACATTAATTTTCAGTGTTATTTTTTAATTTCATCATCATTTAGAGGGGTTGATTCAGGTCTTCTGAGTATATGGGCTATACTGCTGACTACTGAGAGGAAAATGTGTATGGGTGAGGAAGGGGCGGGGGTGAGAGCCTTTCAGTGGGCTTTAAATTACTGCTTCACAATCTAGATTCTGGAGACCTGTCTCATTTGGAAGGGCAATAGCAGGGAGGGCAACACATGCTTTTTCCACATGACTTTGAACCTTACAAATGAACACCAAAGGAACAAATACCAACTAACTGATTCTGCTCACTTCATACTGAAAGGAATCAAATAAAGGAATAAATTAAAAGTATGAGGCCCACAATGAAACTTGTTACACAACACAAACAGTTCACAGCAGCTGTTCAACACTGTGGACCCTTAAGCTCGCTTTCTGTGGTAATTTTTATAGACTTTCTTCTACCCTCTAAGATTATATTTGTAGCCTGGATGACAGAAAGGGAGGGGTGGGTGACAAAAGGGGCAGTCAGCAAGACAAGAAAAATAATGAATGTAGCTGGTAGGAGAAACTTTGTGCACAAGTTGAGGGCAAGGGGCTAACTTTTTTAGAACTATCAGCATCTTCCAGGAATGCATGTTTACTGTAGCGAGGTGTTGAAAGTAAGAAACATCAGTAAAAGGCAAAGTAAAAGCTGACAGTGAGGGGCTTTGTTCCACATTCCAAGCAGACTGCTTCAGAGTACTTGTTTCAGGAAGGTTTTAACATCCCGGACACTACGGTAATGAAACTCGCACTCCTACAGTGTTGGCTGTATCTTGGGGAGTGCACATGCAATATTCAGAACCTACAAGAAGCACCAAGGAAAAGCCCATGTACATACTGAATGGGAACGCCAGTCCATTCTTCTCTATAAGCTGCAAGGTATCTTCTCCACAGGCACTTGTCAGCTCCATAAAGGGTGGTGAACAGATCCTCTCATCTGCAAGATAAAAAGAAGACTCAAATGGAGATGAGGGGTTTAGCTTCTCAGCTGCATCATTATCAGCTCTCTCCATACTAACTGCTTCTGGAGAGCCAGCTTTACTTTAACAGTTGATATTAAAGCACCAGAAAGATTATCAGTCAGTTCTGAATTGTATACGTTACAGAAGATGAAAAGTCCAATTTTCAGACAATCTAAATGGAAATACAAATATTTTCACAGTTAGGCAGCAAAAATGGTCACCTGCTTAGGAATATGGAGCTGCACAAGACTTAGCCAGGGAGGTGAAACTGGGCTCTTAGCTCTTGACGTTATGCCTTCAAGCATAATTTTCTAAAGCATTTTACAAAAACCTCATTGGTCAGCAAGTGTGGCTGGAGTAGGCAGTCTCACAAAGTCATCATTGCTGTAGGGCCCCTCAGGTGGCAGATTTCAGCATGGATTTAATTCAGCCAAGGTGCCAGCCATGTAATACATCCCACTGCCCTTTGGGACCTCTTTGCCAAGCACACAGCGCTCATTTGATCTGGCGAAGCCAGTCAGAGCACCGCTGAGACACTGAGACACCTTGGCAAGATGGCTCCACAGACTTTGGTTACAGAGAAAAAACATGGGAACCACGGGAAAATTTAACAGAGCAAGTCTCCTCCAGAGTTTCTGCTGATGCTGTGCTTGTTCAAATGAGGGTTGTAGGAAGGCTGGAGTAAAACTCCAGACCTCCTAGTGACTCAGTAGGCTGAATTCACATCCTGTTCACTGTAGGAGAGCTTTGATTCCCCTAGGAATACAGCAGGGAAGGGGGAAAGCACCGTAGGACTCATGGTACTTGAGCATGAATCTCCACTGCTCAAGTGGGCTGAACTGCAGTGTGAAGTGCATAGAGAACACTGGCTTCAGCCATGGCTCTGGGACAGGTCAGTGGGCCCAAATACTTTCAGAAAAAAGCTGTATGCACACTAACAAAGTCAAAGCAAGAACATCACCCAAGTAAGAGAAACTACCAAACTTAACTCCTCAGTGAGCAGTCTTAAAAGCACTGCCACCGTGCAGTTCCAGCTTTGGTCAGGTTAACTTTGGAGTGATGAATGAGTTATGGCTCGAAGTAGCCGCACGGTACTGAACTGCAATTCAGAGCAAGTCTGCCAAAACTCACTTCAAGACTTGTTTCAAGATAATCAGCATGAAACCTTCCTCCAAGAAGCAACTGGAGACCAGCACAAATGATGGAAGCAACTGTATCTGGCAAATTCAATTCACAGGTTTATACCAATAAGCAGCTTATCTGGAGAATAAGCAACACGACAGTTATTACTATCCATAGCTATCACAGAGAGCACAGAGAATCTAAACATGTGCAGGCTATGCTGTGCTGATGGTGCAGAAACAGAACAGTACATATAAATTAAAATCCCAGCAAAACTAACTATGTGCGCTGAGAGCACCGTGCATCCAGAAACCCCTTTATAAGCATTGTTTAGATTAATACTTTTTATTTCATGGTTAAGTATATACTTATGCCTGTTCCCTCGCACAGAAAACTCAATCACTGAAGAGGCAAAACTCTATGTACGTATCTCAGTACATGCTTCAACTCTCCAAAAATATCTGAGAACTTCGGCCATTAGCAATACTGTTGCTACAAGAAGTTTTCTGCAGAAAGAAAAGACTATTTTCATACATCCTAAGAGGAGCAGAAAGATTGATACTTTGAGGTCAACCTCTACAAAGCTAAACAAAACATCCCAGACTTCAAAGCTTTCAGTTTGTTGCTACAAAAACAGAAAACTGCATCCAAAAGTGACAGGTACTGTAATATTTACAAGCCTTTGCCAGAACAAAAGTTCCTTAGTTGGATTAATTTAAGGAATCAGATCTAGTTTACAGATACTTGGGAACAACTTTGGCCTGGCAGCTTTCCCACCCATATACTTAAGGCTCACAAATAACTTTGCCTTCAGAGTGCAGATGCAGAGGGTGGTAGGGTTCCACCTCACTTCTCTCCCTTTCTCTCCCATGCAGACAGGAACGGCAGACAGGGAGGATTCAGCGTTCCTGCCGATTACATGACACTTGCACAGGGAGATGAAGGAAGGGACAAACAGAAATTTCTTTGACTTTGTATTTAGCAAGGACCACCTGGATCAACGGTAAAATAGCAGACTTAGCATCTCAAAGTGCTCCTGCTGACTTTGCACAGCACTGACATTTTCTCCACCAAGAAGGCAATTCTAGACCACTGAAGCCCCTAAAACAGACCATTAATTCACAGCCAGACCTGAGGACAAAGAAACCTTCGCTCAGCACAAGATTTCAATACAGCCTACAGCTAGAAAGCTGACGCTCTGAGTTTAATTGTACACACCGCCATTCTGACAGTAGCAGTAAGTTTTAAAAAAAATTCTCCATGTGTTCTTCGGCAAACACGTGCTGAAGCTTTCTCTCATCACCAAGCTCCTGCTATCAGAGTGACAGCAGTCTCAGCACACCTTCTCTGCACTGAGGTCGAGGACAAACCTAATTCAAGGACTGAGGGTCAATCTCAGTACTGTTTTACATCAGCATGGAACTACACCGTACAACCCACAAACTGCAAACGAACACCCAATAATACAGTGAGCCCTCTCTCTCCTCTTGCTGAGGTAAGCTGCTTTAGCAGGACCTTACTGAGCTGTAGTCAGGCACTGAACCCTTGGCCACTCTCACTGCTTCTTCACTGGCCCAGTAGTTACCAGTCACCACGGGAAACAATTGCCAAAAAAGACAATAATATAGACACAAACAAATAAATGTAACAATCTAGAGGAGAGAATAGGTGACATAAGTCTGGCCCCACCACCGACCCTTTGTCGTGACACTACAGCCTAACCCTCCCGTCTACAACGAAGCAATATTCTCATTTGTATCGGAGAGCCCTTGTGTGGATGAAGCACTTCCATAAAAGCAGTCTGAGAACTATGAAAGTATTAGGCCACAGCCGCGGCGTGCCTCTCACAGAGCAGCAACAACCATGCACCACTAGCAGAAGGGACTCTGTATACGTGTCAGGACACAGAGCTGGTATAACCCAGAACCTGTGCAAGGAACCGGCCCTGTTGCTCTTCCACCATTGGAACTCAGCTCCGAGCTGTGCACTGGGACGCTGCTGACTGGAAGAGGCTTCTTCTAAAACAGCAAGCTTGGAAAAGACTCTGCCTCATCTTCCATCCTCGGCTATGTCCAAGTGCCCTTAGTTCGTAAGAGATTATTACAAATGCATTTTCTGTGCTTTGCACTTTGAGTCTGAAACTAAACCTTAGGCACTTCCTCCCTCCCTTTGGGTACATATATTGAATCACATGATAGACAGATAACCATAATTATTAATAATGTCTTCCTGCAGCCTTTACTAAAGTGGAGATATCAATCTGAAAAATCTCTCCATACGTCTGGCACACTTAGGGGGGTGGGCTTCCTTACTTTTTCTAAGCACCCGGTAGTCTCTCAGAGATTCGCCTTTGAAATATGGCCAGGACTCAGGGTGCACCATGTCAGGTCTAGAACTGCCAACTTAACAGCAACAAGGAAAGACTCCTCAGATCAGGAGAGGGTTCAGCTTTCATTTCAGACAAGTACCAAAAGTATCTGTACCATTTTTGTTGTTAGAAACAACACATCATAATCAAATTTAAAAGTCAAAATGCTGTCATCATGTTCCTCCCTCATCTTTGTCCTCATTTTTATTGTATGCCTTGGCACAAACTTTGTGGTGTCTGCTTTCTGTATTTTCCTTAAATTATTCTCCCGTTTCTTCAAGATTATCCGATCTCACAAGGAGCCCTCCCCTCCTCTTTTTTTACTTTATGCATTTTTTCTCATCCCCATCCCCATTTCCTCTCCATGCCTGTCTTTTTTTTCAACTGCCATTCCTGTTCTGCCACTGCTACCTACACCTCATCCCTCTGTCACCTTTGAAGGGGATCGTGGCTGGGATCACATTTGTTGCAAACACAGGGGGAGCGTTTGCAGTGGCCCCTCTGAAGGCAGCAGGGCCAGAAGCCAGCACTAACAGGTCACGGGCGACAGGCAGCAATCACCAGTGTCGGGGCAAACAGCTCAGGCACATCCTGCTCCGGGGTGAGCTTTGCTAGAGTGTTGCTCCATTTCCACCACCAAGGGGGAAAACACGACTGATGAAGGCCAGTTACAGGATGAGTAACCAACGAGAGAGAGGTGAAAGAGTCCTCAAACCAGGGCGCTGGTGCCAAGGAGGGGATTATTCCAGATGAAGTTCAACAATAGAGACAGGAGCAATGGGATGTGAAAATGGGAAAGATACAGACTAAATACTGGCTCCAGAAAAAAGTTTGCTGGCAGTGAGAACTGGTTAAAATCTGTATGCCTGAGTCTTGCTTTAGTAAGAGATATTGAGCAGTACAACTCTACCCAGGGCCCATGCACCACTAGTGGCCTTCAGATAGATTGCCCAGCAGTTACAGGGTACCCAGACCCCAGAAAGGAAGAAGGCACAAGAAATCCAACACTGAACACACACACACACACACGCCCATTCAGCAAGACATAAAATAAGACTAATACAAGGCTGATCAGCAAACTGCATTTCCTTGTCTTCAAAAAAGGAGTTTCAAAAGAATTCATGGACATCTGTTAGTAGAGCTCAAAACTTGAGGCTAGGGGAAAAAAAGCAAAAAAAAAAAACCATGAGGAGGTCACTGCCTATTAAACTTCAGATTTGCAATCTCAACATGTCTCCCTATCTCATAATTGATCAAGGAGAATGCAGTTTGTCAAAGGGGCACAAGGAGAGGCCTGGAGTCCCCTGTGTGTGCAACAGATTTGGCCCAAAGCACATGAGTGTGTGATCCTCTAATTCTGCTTGGCATTTACAAATGGAGCACAACTTGTGCTCAGGTTGCTCTCTGTGACTGGAAAGGTTGCCAGGATTATTTCTGAAGAAACAGGGTGCACAACCTCCATAAGCACACAATGCTCTATGCAGAGAAATGACAAAGCTTCTTCTGAAAAGTGCTGGTCTCTGCTGTAAACACCTTTAAGATAAGGAGAAAACCATTCGTA